CCTGAGTAGCTGGGATTACAAGTGCCCACCACCACGCCCAGCTAATTTTTGTATTTTTAGTACAGATGGGGTTTCACCACGTTGGCCAGGCTGGTCTCGAACACCTGGCCTTGTGATCCACCCACCTTGGCCTCTCAAAGTGCTGAGATTACAGGTGTGAGCCTCTGTGCCTGGACTCTTTTTTTCTTAGTGTGGCTAAAGGTTTTTTGATTTAGTTTATGTTTGCAAAACACCAGTTTTTAATTTCATTGATTTTTTTTTTGTATTTTTAAATTTCAATTTTACTAATTTTTTGCTCTGATCTGAGTTCTTTCTTTTCCTCTACCAATTGTGCATTTCATTTGCTTTTGTCTTTCTTATTTGTTAAGATGCATCTTTAGGTTGCTTATTTGACATATTTCTACCTTTTTGATATAGGTATTTATTGTTTTAAATGTCCTTTTTTGTACTGCTTTTTCTGTGTTATGGAGATTTTGGTCTATTGTGTTTTCACTCCCACATGTTTCATGAAATTTAAAAATTTCCTCATTTTTTCATTGGCAAACTGGTCAATCAGGAACATATTTTTACTTTCCATGTGTTTGCTTAGTTTCCAAAGTTTTTCTTCATATTGATCTCTAGTTTTATTTCATTATGATCAGAGAAGATACTTGATGTTATTTTAATTTTTTTGAACTTTTTGAGACTTGTTTTGTGATCTAACTTATGATCTATCCTGGAGAATATGCCGGGCACTGATGAGAAGAATGTGTATTCTGGGGCTGTTGGATGAAATGTTTTATAAATATCCATTTGTTCTATAGTGCAGTTTAAGTCTGATATTTCTTTGTTGATTTTCTCCTGGATGAATACCCCAGGGCTGAAAGTGAGGTTTTGAAGTCCCCAGTTATTATTGTATAGGCATCTATCCTTCTTTTTAATTTTAATAATATTTGTTTTATATAGCTGAGTGCTCCAGCATTGGGTGCATATATATTTACAATTGTTATATATCCTGTTGCTGAATTGACTCCTTTGATATTATATAATGACCTTTGTCTCTTTTTATAGTTTTTGTCTTGAATCCTGTTTATTTATGCATAACTACTCTTGTTCTCGTTTGGTTTTCATTTGCATGGATTATCTTTTTCTTTTTAAAAAAATTTTACTTTATGTTCCGGGATATAAGTGCAGAAATGTATAGGTTTGATACATAGGTATACGTGTGCCATGGTGGTTTGCTGCACCTGTCAATGCATCATCTAGGTTTTAAGCCTCGTGTGTGTTAGCTATGTGTCCTAATGCTCTCCCTCCCCTTCCCCTCCACCCCACAATTGGCCCTGGTGTGTGTTCCGCAATATCTTTTTCTTTTTTTTTTTGGTCTGCGTATCTTTATAGATGAGGTTAGCGTATTGTTTTTGTTTTTTTAATCCATTCATCCACTTTGTCTTTTATTGGAAATTTAGTCCATTTATATTCAATGTTATAAGGTACAGGCTTACTAGTGCCATTTTGTTATTTATTTTCTGGTTGTTTTGTTGGTTCTCTCTTTCTTCCTTTCTTCTTGTCTTCCTTTGTATAAAAGTGACTTTTTCTGACAAGTTTTAATTTATTATTTAAAACTTTTTTTGGGCCGGGCGCATTGCCCCACGCCTGTAATCCCAGCACTTTGGAAGGCAGAGGTGGGCAGATCACGAGGTCAGGAGATTGAGACCGTCCTGGCTAACATGGTGAAACCCCATCTGTACTAAAAAATACAAAAAAAATTTAGCGAGGTGAGGTGGTGGGCTCCTGTAGTCCCACCTACTCGGGAGGCTGAGGCCAGAGAATGGTGTGAACCTGGAAGGCGGAGCTTGCAGTGAGCCGAGATTGCGCGACTGCACTCCAGCCTGGGCGACAGAGTGAGACTCCGTCTCAAAAAAAAAAAACCCCCAAAAAACCCAACTTTTTTTTGTATCCGATATAGGTTTTTGTTTTGTGATTACTGTGAGGCTTGCAAATAACATCTTATAACCAATTATTTCAAGCAGATGACAGCTTAACTCTGACTACAATGAAAATAAAAAAATAAATAAGCAAAAAGAAAACAAACAAAAAACCCCAAACTACACCTTCACCCCATTTCTTCACTTTGTCACTTCTTTTTTTTTTTTTTTTTTGAGATGGAGTCTCACTCTGTCACCCGGGCTGGAGTACAGTGGCGTGATCTCGGCTCACTGCAATCCCCGCCTCCCAGGTTCAAGTGATTCTCCTGCCTCAGCCTCCCAAGTAGCTGGGACTACAGGCACCCACCATCACGCCAGGCTAATTTTTTGTACTTTTAGTAGAGATGGAGTTTCACCATGTTAGCCAGGATAGTCTCGATCTCCTGACCTCGTGATCTGCCTGACTTGGCCTCCCAAAGTGCTGGGATTACAGGCTTGAGCCACCGTGCCCGGCTGCTTTGTCACTTTTGATTGTCTCTATTTATATCTTTTTATGCTCAGAAAGCTGTTTCAGTTACTATTTTTGATAGGTTTGTCTTTTAATCTTCCTACTAATATATGAGTGTTTTAACACTATAGTTACAGTGTTATTCTGTATTCATCTGTTCATTTACCACTACCACTGAGTTCTGTACCACCATGTGATATATATTTTTTACATTAATGTGCTTTTCTTTCAGATTGAAGAACTCTCTGTAGCATTTTTTTGCAAGACAGGTTTGGTGTTGATGAAACCCCTCATCTGTGTTTGTCTGGGAGAGTATTTCTCTTTCATGTTTGAAGGATAGTTTTATTGGAAATAATATTCTAGTTCAAAAGTTGTTTTTCTTAAACACTTTGACTATGTCATCTGCCTCTCTCTTGGCCTCTAAGTTCCCTGCTGAGTTGTCTCCTGCCAGACATATTGTTCTTTATATGTTCTTTATATATGTTCTTTGCTTTGTATGTTCTTTATATGTTCTTTGCTTCTTTTCTTTTTCTGCTTTTAGGATACTTTCTTTATCCTTGACCTTTGACAGTTTGATTAATATATTAATTCAGTTAGTCTTATTTGGGTTGAATCCTTTTGGTGTTGTGTGATCTTCTAATACCTTAATATTCACATCTTTTCCTAGGTTTTGAAAGTTTTCTATCAGTATTTCACTGAATAAACTTCCTACCCTACCTCTCTATCTCTACATCCTCTTTAAAGCCATTAACTCTTAGATTTGCCCCTTTGAGGCTATTTTCTAGATCTTGTAGAAAAGCTTCATTCTTTTTAAATTGTTTTTCTTTTCTCTCCTCTGACTGTGTATTTTTATATAGCCTGTCTTCAGGTTCACTAATTATTTCTTTTTCTTGATCGATTCTACTGTTGAGAGACTGAGACATTTTTGAGTTTGTCAGTTGAATTTTTCAGCTGTAGAACTTCTGTTTGAAATTTCAAAAACGATTTTAATCTCTTTGTTAAATTTCTCTGGTAGAATAATGAATTTCTTCCCTGTGTTATCTTTTAAGTTTGTTGAGCTTCCTCAAGACAGCTCTTTTGAATTCTCTGTCTGAAAGGACATATATCTTCGTCTTTCCGGGATTGGTCACTGGTGTCTTCTGTAGTTCATTTAATGAGGTCATGTTTTCCTGGATACTCTTGATGCTTGTGGACATTCATCACTTATGGGCATTGACAAATTAGGTATTTATTTGTCTGTGTAGTCTGGGTTTGTTTGTACCCTTCATTCTTGAGAAGACTTTTCATGTATTCAAATGGGGTTGAGTGTTGTGCTCTAAGAATGTGGTCCTTATGGGCTAAAGGAGGTGCTCTAAGCCCAGGAATAATGCAGTTCTTGCTGACATCTAGAGGCGCTGCCTTGATGAGTTTGGGTAAGGTAAAGGAGAATTCCTTGGGTTGTCAGGCAACGTCCTCTTGATGTCTTCCCTTTACTCCTTCCAATCAGAAGTAGTCTCTCTACTGGGCTGCCTAGAGCACTTCTGTGGCTTCCACAGCTGGCACTGTGCTGGGTCATACCTGAAGCCTGTACAATACTGGATCTTGCCTGGTTACTGCTGATGTTTATTCAAGGCCCAAGGGCTCTTTAGTGATCAGGTGAATCCTGCCAAGACTGGGTCCTTCTCTTCAGGGCAGTGGATTCCCTTTGAATGAGGGTGGGTCTAGAAATCCCCTTCAGGAACTAAGTCCTGGAATTGACAGCTTCAGTAATCTTCTTGGTGCTTTACTTTGGCTGAGCTGGTACCCAAATTGCAAGACAGTCTTCTATACTCTTCCCACTTCTTTCCTTAAGCTAAAGGAGTCTCTCCCCAAGCTGTACTTCCTGGAGTTGGGTGCAATGTGATCCAGCCACTCCCCTGGCTGCCACAGCTGGTGTCACACTTGGTCACACATCCCAAGTCTACTGCCTCCAAGTCCAGTGCAGCACCACAGCTTGCCTGAGGACTGCAGTACTTGTGGCCTGACAGCCAATTAAGCTTATTCTGGGCACGAGGCCACTTTAGTTAGCCAGAGGTGAGGTCAGTTGGGACTCAGGTTCTTCCTGCTGAGACTGAGAATTCTGTCTTGCCCAGGGCTGATCTAAATGCTCCCTCCTTGGGTGCTAGCAGAATTCTTCTCTGTTTTGTGTTTTGCTGTAACATGGCAGCACTGAGTTCCAGTGCAAAGACCCACACTCACTTCACCCTCCCTCCCCCAAACAGTTTTTCTCTCTTCATACTGGGAGGGATCCTGTAGGCAATGCAAGACTGTCTTTCCTGTGCTCTTCAATTCCTCTATCCCTGATGTTATGTGAAAACCAGGTACTGTGATTTTCAGGTACTCACCTGAATTTTCTGGATTCTTATGAAGGTGTTTATTGCATAGATAGTTGTTCAATTTGGTGTAAGATCATGGAAGGGTTCTATTTGGCCATCTTGCTCTGCTTTCCTTTATTTTTATTTACTGTTAAAACCTGGCTCATGATCAGTTTTTTCCTGTATGTAAACTTTCTTGAGGTGCTTTTGTTTTATATATTAGCAATGATTAAAAAAGCTTTCTCTTTTTTCTAGGAGAGCATATAGATTACTGTGGATATTCTGTTCTTCCTATGGCTATAGAACAAGATGTGCTAATAGCTGTAGAACCTGTGAAAACATATACTCTCCAACTGGCCAATACAAATCCCTTGTATCCGTGAGTATTTAAAATTGCTAATTTGTCTGTATGTATGGTTCTGTTTGTACCCAAATGAACTCTTTAGGAGACATCAGATTTATAACAAGTCATTTAATTTGTTGATACTTTGTACCTGACATTAAAAAAATTCTAAGGCCATTATTTATTGTTTGTTCATTTTGTTCATTTGTCAATTAATTTAAGGAATATTTACCAAAGACTTACCATGTGATAGACATAGTCTTAGATACCAGGTGATACAAAGATAAATAACTCTGTCCTTGTGCAATAGGTACTTATCATCTATTGATCTAATTATCTCCAGCAAAGTAAGGTGATGTTTTCCTATGTTACTATGGCAGCTTCTAAGTATCTTGTCATAGCATCTTACTATGCTGTATTATTATTATCTGTTTATTTACCTGTGTCACCCAGTAGACAGTAAACTATGTGACTTCAGGCACTGTTGCCTCTCTTCTTCAATGCCCTAGCATATAAAACAGAGTCTGATGCCTAATAAAGGTAACTTTCTAGTACATATGCTTTATCAAGTTAACAAAGTCTTTAAAAAAAAAATCTTAGTTTGCTAAGATTAAAAAAGTTTACTAATGGGTATTGAATTTAATTAAATGTCTATTTAGTATTGAAGATCAGTTTTTTAAAAATATGGTGAATTAGTCTGATGAAGTTTTTAATGTTGAGCCCTTTGCATTTCTAGGATAAACTCTACTTGCTTTTAATGTATTATAACGGATTTGACTTGATCATACAGAAAAAGATTTTGGCTTATGTTTGGCATATTATATGTTTGGCTTGTTCATTGGTTAGTTTATCTGCAATAACATTCATTTATTCAGAAAATATTTTTGATAAGACTCTATACCAGCTTGTGCAAGATGTAGAAGTTTTTTACTTTTATATGGAACTTATTGTAGGAGATCTTTTTTTCCTTTTCATTTCACATGTCTGATAATATATCTTGTGTGCATTTTGGACCCTTGAAAAGCTCACATTATCTCAAACATATTTTTGTGTCATTGTTTATGAACATTTAAAAACCCGTGCATAATATTTTGTCATCTTGATTTAGTAAAATTTACTTAATCATTCCCACAATAATGAATGTGTGGTTTCAGTTTCGTTTTTCACAAAAATAGATCCTGAGACAGACCTAGATGCAGGTAGTATATTTGAGAAATGGTCCCAGGAGCAGTAGGAAAGAGCATGAAGAATGAGTTGGGCAATTAGAGGTGAATTATCAGGATATATAGTCCCTGCTAGAGGCAGGAGTCTTGAATCTGCTAGGACCCCTAGGAAGCATGTAGTATGCCTCCTAGAATTGTCCATTTGTTTTAGCATTCATTGTGTAGGTATATCTTGTTTATCTATTTACCAATAACGGACATTTAGATCATTGCCAGTATTTGCCTGTATGAATAATACTGCTACAAATATTTATGTACAAATGTATGTGTGGACATGTTTCATTTCTGTTGGGTAAATACCTAAGATTGGAGTGTCTGGTTTGCCATTTATTTATTTATTGAGACAGGGTCTCACCCTCTTGCTTAGCCTGGAGTGTAGTGGGGTGATCTCAGCTCAACTCAACCTTTGCCTCCTGAGTTCAAGAGATTCTCCCGCTTCAGTCTCCTGAGTAGCTGGGACTACAGGCACATACCATCACACCTGGCTAATTTTTGTATTTTTTGGTGGAGATGAGATTTCACCATGTTGACCAGGCTGGTCTTGAACTACTGACCTCAAGTGATCCACTTGCGTCAGCCTCCCAAAGTGCTGGGATTACAGGTTTGAGCCACTGCATCCATCCTGGTTTGCCTTTGATACGGTTTGGTGGTGTCCCCACCCAAATCTAATCTTGAATTTTAACTCCCACAATTCCCACGTGTCCTGGGAGGAGCCTGATGGGAGGTAATTGAATCATGGGGGCGGGTCTTTCCCATGCTGTTCTTGTGATAATGAATAAGTCTCATGAGATCTGATGGTTTTAAAAATGGAAGTTTCCCTGCACAAGCTCTCTTTTTGCCTGCCATCATCCATATAGGACGTGACTTGCTCCTCCTTGCCTTCTGCCATGATTGTGAGGCTCCTGCAGCCATGTGGAACTGTAAGTCCATTAAAGGTCTTGCTTTTGTAAATTGCTCAGTCTCAGGTATGTCTTTATCAACAGCATGAAAATGAACTAATATAGCCTTTTAAAGAAATTTTCTGGCTGGGCACAGTGGTTCACGCCTGTAATCCCAGCATTTTGGGAGGCCGAGGTGGTTGGATTGCTTGAGCCTGCGAGTTCGAGACCACCCTTGGCAGCATGGTGAAAGCCTGTCTCCACTAAAAATACAAAAAGCTTAGTTGGGCATTGTGGCATGCACCTGTAATCCCAGCTACTCAGGAGGCTGAGGAAGGAGAATTGCTTGAACCTGGGAGGTGGAGGTTGCAGTGAGCCAAGATTGCGCCACTGCACTCCAGCCAGGGTGACAAAGCGAGACTCTGTCTCAGAAAAAAAAAAAAAAAAAGAAAGAAATTTTCTGCTTGCCAAAGTTGTGTAATTTTACATTTTCATCAGTGGTGTTACCAGCATGTTTTAAAATTTTAGCTCTTCTCCTAAATGTGTAGTAGTATATTTCAAGTTTTTAAATTTCTCTGACTAATGATGTTGAACATCTTTTCATCTACTTATTTGCTACCTAGATGTATTCTTTGTTGAAGGGTCTTTTCAAATCATTTTCCTATTTTTGAGTTTCTCATAGATATAAGCCTCTTTTTTTTGACAAAGTCTTGCTCTGTCATTTCTGTATTGGGACATTACAGGTCCTCTCTTCTAGCTATTTTGAAATATACAATACATGGTTGTTAACTACAGTCACCCTACTCTGCTATAGACCATTATAACTTATTCCTTCTATCTAACCTTATGTTTTTACCTATTTGCCAACTTCTTTTTATCCCCCATTCACTGACCCTTCCTCGCCTCTTTTATCTATCATTCTACCCTGTTCCTTCATGAGATCAATTTTTTAAGTTCCCACATATGAGTGAGAATATCTGATGTTTGTTTTTTCTGTACCTGGCTTATTCCATCAACATTGTTCCAAATGCCATGATTTTATTTTATTTTTTTATGGCTGAATAGTATTCCATTGCGTATATATACATTTTCTTTATTTATTCATCTGTTGGTGGGCACTTAGGTTGATTCCCTGTCTTTGCTATTGTGAATGGTACTGGAATAAACATGGAGTGCAGGTATCCTCCTGATATACTGATTTCTTTTCCTTTGGATAAATACGCAGTATTATGGTTGCTGGATCATATGGTAGTTGTGTTTTTAGTGCTCTGAGAAATCTCCCTACTGTTTTCTGTAATGGCTGCACTAATATACATTCCCACCAACAGTGTATAAGTGTTCCCTTTTTTCTGTGTCCTTATCAGCATCTGTTATCTTTTGTCTTATTAGTAATGGTCATTCTAACTTAGGTAAGATGATGTCTCATTGTGGTTTTGATTTCCATTTTGCTGATGATTAGTGATGGTAAGCACTTTTTCATATACCTATCTGCCGTTTGTATGGATGTCTTTGGAAAAATGTCTCTTCATGTCATTTGTCCACCTTTAAGTGGGATTATTATTAGTTTTTACTATCGAGTGTTTTGAGTTCCTTGTGTATTCTGGATATTAGTTCCTTGTTGGATGAATAGTTTGCAAATATTTTCTTCCATTCAACAGGTTGTCTCCCCACTCTGTTGATTGCTTCCTATGTGGGCAGAAGCTTTTTAGTTTAAAACAGTTTTATTTATTTATTTTTGTTTTGTTTTCCGTACTTTTGAGATCTTAGCCATGAAATCTTTGGCTATATCCTGAAGTGTTCCCCCTATATTTCTTTCTAGTTGTTTTATAGTTGTAGGTGTTATGTTTAAGTCTTTAACCTATCTTGGATTGAATTTTGTATATGGTGAGAAATAGGGGTTCAATTCATTCTTCTGCGTATGGGTATTGAGTTTTCCCAGCGCCATTTATTCAAGAGGGTTTTCTTTCCTGAATGTATTTTCTTGATACCTTTGTTGAAAATGAGTTTGCTGTCCAGGCGCGGTGGCTCATGCCTGTAATCCCTGCACTTTGGGAGGCCGAGGTGGGCAGATCGCCTGAGGTCAGGAGTTCAAGACCAGCCTGGCCAACATGATGAAACCCTGTCTCTATTAAAAATACAAAAAATTAGCTGGGTGTGGTGTTGCGCGCCTACAATCCCAACTACTCAGGAGGCTGAGGCAGGATAATTGCTTGAACCCAGGAGGCGGAGGTTGCAGTGAGCCAAGATCACGCCACTGCACTCCAGCCTGGGCAACAAGAGCAAAAAACTCTGTCTCAGAGAAAAAAAAAAAAAAAAAAGAGAAAATGAATTTGCTGTACATACATGGATGTATTTCTGGGTTCTCTCTTCTATCCCATTAGTATTTGTGTCTGTTTTGATACCAATACCTTGCTGTTTTGGTTTTTATAGCCTTGTAATGTATTTTGAGGTCAGATAGTGTGATGCCTCTTGCTTTGTTCTTTTTGCTCAGGAGTGCTTTGGCTATTTGGGCTCTTTTTGTTTGGTTTTATACATATTTTAGGATTTTTTTCTATTTTTGTGAAAATGACAGGAGTATTTTCATAGGGATTGCATTCAATTTGCAGATTGCTTTGGCAGTATGTTCATTTTAACAATATTAATTTTTTCAGTCCATGAACATGGGATGTCTTCATTTGTGTCCTCTTCAATTTCATTCATCAGTGTTTTCTAGTTTTCCTTAGAGATCTTTCATCTCCTTGGTTAAATTTATTCTTAGGATGTTTTTTTGTTTTGGAGCTATTGTAAACAGGATTTCTGGCCTAATTTGTTTCTCAGCTAGTTCATTATTGGCGTATTGAAATGCTGCAAATTTTTGTATGTTGATTTTTTATACTGCAACTTTACTGAATTTGTTTATCAGAGTTTTTTTTTAGAGTCTTTAGCTTTTTCTGGA